AAAAAAAAAAAAAAAAAAAAAAAAAAAAGCAGCACAGGTAACTCCATCTGTAGTTGTTATTGATAACTCTCTGCAGCATGCACTGTGGTGAGAAGTGTACCATCAGAACAGTGCCAGGGTATGGTAGCTAGAGAAATGAAAACTTCCATTGTCTAGTCCTCTTCTCTGAGCCCCGACCTATTCAAGTGATCATTTTATATGCTTTTTGCCAGCACAACTCTCATCTTCATAAAGGGCAATCCTTTGGTGATTTGTCTTTTCTAAGCATATTGAGAACTGGTCTCCTAAAGGTGTGGACATTCTGTTTTGAGAAGATTCTTACCTTTTGTGCAAATTATAGTTATAATAGAAAAGTGAGTTCAGGAAATCACACCTGGGAAGTATCACAGTGATTATGTAAATACCTCACAGGTAAGGAAGAAGAATCCAAGCCCTCAATTTGGATGAGCAGCATTTCTACCAACTATTCTTAAGATTAATTTCATTAATCATACCAGTTTGTGTGGCTTGAAAGAGTTCAATGCAAAGTCTAATGTAGTCAAGAAATATGTACTGTATTTCTTCTGTTACTTGCTGCTGCACTGGGCTCCATGGATTCAGCAATGGGGAAAGGAGGCTCAGTCCCTACACTAAGGATTCTGATGAAGAACAAGAAAAATGGGTGCCAGGGTGGTGTGAGAGGGAGAATCCATGGCAATCTTATTGTAGATAGTCTATGTGGAAAAATTATGTTCCTGGCCATACTGAGAAAATTCCTTTCCCCATAGAATACAAATATTTCTACTATGTGCCTGCCCACCCTATTCTCATTTTAAATTGTAACAACCCAAGTTTATTGATTTTCCTCAGTTAGAAACTGTAGGATCCCAAGTCACATATTGTCTCTGCACCTTAGTTCTCATCTGAAAGCCGAGAATCTAGACTGTATGATTTCTCGATTTTCTTTCTGCCTTTGAGACTCTTCTTTCAGAAGTGTGTCATGAGGGTGATGTATTTCAGATCTTTTCCCTATTCTCCACAGCCCCTTTGCTTTCCCATGAAGGCCTTTGGGGGTGGCGCCTTAGTTTCTGTATCTCGCAACCCCCCAGCTCTCTGGCATACCTGTGACACAGTGATAAGGACCAAGATTGGTCATGATCCCTGAAGTGCTGTGGTCTTCTGACTTTTCCTTCCTTTTAGATCAGAGAACCCAGAATAGATGAGACTATTAATCATTGTTCAGGAATAAACAACACTATTAAACTTATGCATTTTTTGATCCTTGCCAGATAATTTCTAGGCCACTTCTTAGAAAAGGCAACCTTGCCAAAGCTTTTATTTTTCCTTGTGGTGCTATATTTGCCTTGCCAAGGATAAAATACATGACTTTTGGACTCAGAAAAATCAGTATATTAAAAAG